CCCCCCAATAACAATCTAAAGTACAGAGGTCTGGAGTACAGAGCAGTATCTCCTTCCAACAACTACGTCACTCACGTAAACATTGCTGAACACACATACACACTCATAGACAACAGAGATATTATGCAAATGTATGCATAATTCGATGACGAAATCAGAGATAACTGAGAGTACAGTATTGAAATAACGCTGGAAAAGATAAGATGGAGACCCAAAAAAAAATACAGGAGCACCTGCACAGACCTGCACAGAGACACCCACCCATACAAACATAAAACTCCACCCATGGTGTCGCGATGACACTGGGGTTCTGTCTGGGATGGCAGAACCATGTGGGGAAAAAAGTCAACTTTTTTTCCCCGCTCGGGGCTTGCCTCTGTATTGTGTTACACCTCGATGCAAAATATAACACTGAACCTCGACAGTTTACTTTTTGCATGCTGAACACCGGCGTCTGTGTTGTAATTGTAGGACTCCACGTATACGTAGAAGGGACAGAGCCACACCACAGGATCCACCGACCATCCACTTCGAAGATGGTCAAAAAGGACAAAACGACGACACCAGATAAAAGCCGATGATGTTGAAGAGGACACAGTTTTAGTTTAAGTTAAGAATTTTTACGGCATTTGCAACACGTTCAGGTCATATTATAATTATAATAATAATAAGCGCCGAAGAATAGAGACGTTTCAAGAGAGTAACAAGCACAACAAGGAGGAAACATAAAAGGATGATAGATGGTAGACAGGAAAGAAAGAACAAACCACACCAGAACACGTAGAAACGGTTGTAAGTGTTTCATGGCGCTCGCAACTGCATAAGGTCATATGCACGTAAGGGACACTTTAATCATTTTCAGTTTTGTATGGTACGTATTAATTTTTTAAAATTTTGCCCGAGTGGTCGTCGAAGCCTACTCTTATCAATTTTGGACCACCAACGGATCTTTAACGAGCGCCACTTGCACACAAGAACTCCACGTTTTTTCGCCCTCATCCGAAAAGGCTTGGTGTTAGATCTTACCTACCGTAAGATCAAGGGTGAAGCTGAAAGCCAGCAGTAAGATGGAGCCAAGGAGAAGCAGTAGAAAGGCTGCAGAAAGAGTCAGGAACCCAGAGGAGGGGGCAAAGGGGGAAGGGGAGCGGGTGAAGAAAGTGGAGACGAAAGCAGACGACAGAACATGGTTAGAGAACAGGAAAGGAGGTGAAAGGAGAAAATTTTAGAGAAGAAAATTTTCCATCGCTATCAGGTTTCGAACCTGGCCTATTGAATGAGAAGCGAACACCATGACCTCTAGAGCCTCTCTGAAAATGTTTAACACCCAAATTAACACAATTTAGGTCACTCTAAAGGAAGGGCACATAGTTCCCAAATACGAAAAGATGCAGAGAGGGAAAGTAAGCAGGTGGGGGGTGAGAGGGGGGAGAGAGGAAGAGAGACAGAGAGAGAGAAAGAAAGAGAGAAAGAGAGGGGGAGAGAGGGAGAGAGAGAGAGAGAGAGAGAGAGAG